TTTGTCACAGCCCCTTTCCAACCTCAGTTCCTATGGGAAAAGGAAAGAAGGAATATGAAATAAGAAGTGAAGTGCGACTGGGCACATTGTCACACACCTGTAATCTCAGTTACTCTGGAGACTGAGGCAGGAGGATCAGAAGTTCCGGGCAGGCTAGCCTGAAGTTTTGTAAGACTCTGTCTCAAGTAAAAATTTTAAAAAAGGGGGCTGGGGATATAGCTCAGTGGTAGAGCACTGCTGGGTTCACTCCCCAGTACCATAAAAAAAAAAAAAAAACTGCCAGGTGTGGTGGTGCGTGCCTGTAATCCCAGTGGCTTGGGAGGCTGAGGCAGGAGGATCTCAAGTTCAAAGCCAGCCTCAGCAACTTAGCAAGGCCCTAAGCAACTTAGCAAGACCCTGCCTCTAAATAAAATATACAAAAGGGCTGAGGATGTGGCTCAGTGTTTAAGTACCCCTGAGTTCAATTCCTTCAAGTAATGTCTCCTGAGTTAACAAGATTTCCTGTGGCTACATAGGTAGTAAAGATCATTTATACATACTAAGTTTTTATACTTAAAAAAAAAGATTGTGAAGACACTGGTGATGATTTTTTGTCGTTACTATTTCTAACTGTTTCTTGCTTTTGCTTGACTCATTAATTTGGGGTGGATTATCTGAGGAAATAGTTTTATCTCCGTTATCTACCTCTAAGCAGTTCTTCTTCCATATAAAAATGTCTAGGCCTAATTAGTTATGAAATAAAATAATTTCTGAATATAAGCAAGATAGGATAAGAGCATTCTGACAGAGAGAGAGAGAGAGAGAGAGAGAGAGAGAGAGAGAGAGCGAGCTATTAGACTGCCCCACTAGTAGAGACCTGAAATCATTTCCATAATAGTTGTTCTACAAACATGTATTTTTTCTAGGCACCCAAAGTAAAGGTTAAAAAAATCAACTTCCTTAGCTATTGACAAGCCATAGGAGACTAATTATCAATGCAGAAAGGGGACAGCAATGTAATAATCCTCATTAAAAAGACACTATGAGGTAATGCAGTTCCCAAGAGAGAAGGGAAACCCATGTTAGATCATTTTCAATTGAAATAACAACCCGATTTAACTGTCTACAGGATCAACTAGGAAACTGTCAATAGACTTGCATAAAAGGCTGCATCAAAAAAAAAAAAACAAACTCAAAACCTCTTATTTTGCTGGTGAAAAGAAGGTAACAGGGGAAATCTTGGCCCAGGGAGGATGTCTGAAGTCAGAAGCTAAATTGCTTTAAAAGCTGAATATATAATAAGATGTTTTGTCTGCAACTCTGGCTTTTGGCTCCCCTGAGCCTCCCTGGAAAGTTGCCCCAGGCTCTCCCATTGGGGATTATCTGGTACCTGCGTGGCAAAACCGCTCCTCTGTTGAATGAGGACATGAGTGTTCTTTCTGGCAATGAACAGTGTCTTCATTGTTTCTAGATGAACATGACTAGGCGTGGCTAGGAGGTTGCATTCTATCAGTTACATAAGGGATGCTAAACTTTTCACAGTCAAAGAATCTTTGGGTTAATTGTCCACAACTACGATCACATGTTTTGAAATATATATTTTTTTAAATGGTCATTGTTCCCAGAACAATTACAAAAAAAACAAGGACACATAAATGTTAGAGGTTACTGTTGTCAGTATGAAATAACATGGAGAGGATATAATTCAGAAACAAATTTGGTATTTTGGGTAGCCTCTGCAGTCTCTTTGTGGATAATATAGGATTCTACTTGACTTTTTGAGATGATCTAAAGATTCTAGACTCCCAATATTGCCCTTAGGGGGATTATATCCCATAAGGATTTGGGAACTTCAAGCTAGGAAACCTGAAATTGAGTCCTAAGAGACTAATGTGCAGACAGGTTAGTTGGAATAGAAAAGGGGGAAGTTAGGAAAGTTCAGAGAGTGATATTGGTAAGAAAGGGCTTGAGCAGCTGGGGTGGAAGTGGCTCACCATTTTTACTACTTTCTAGTTTGTATTTTATCTAGCAATGTCTTGGATCAATAGAACAATTTAAACTATCTTAATTATATCACTATATAGGGTTGAGAGCTCCATGATTTTTCCTTATAGAACCCTTAACAAAGTTATATTTCAAACAATTAAAAACCAGTTCACTTTAATCCAATCAGCACTTACTAAATACAAGGTATTGTGGTATGTGATGCAGGCAAGAAAGGAGAAAGAAACTGATTTTTGTCTGTTTTATTCACCAGTGTATAACTAGCCTTAGAACACTACTGGGTTCTTGGCAAATACTGGAACATTTATTGAATGAATAAAGCTCAAAGAATGAAGTATTCACCTAAAGAGCAGAAAATGACAATAAGGGGCACAAAAACACAGAGGAGGGGAATTCCTTCAATGACACAGTCTAAGTAATTATTAGTTAAAACGATCTATGATGTATTTCCAAATGATCGGAAGATATGAAATTTCCAACACATAAAATGATTAACATTTGGAAAGTGAGAAATGTTTAGTAGCCTTGATTTGATGATTTACACATTTTACGAATATACCAAAGTACCATAATGTACCCCATAAAGAAGTACAGCTATTATGTCTCAATAAAAAATAATTTGAAGGTGGAACTTCCTATTAAAATTAAACCCAGAATCTCCAGGTTTTGGGAGAATTGTTGGACTAATCCCATGTCTCTGAGATTTGTCATTGCTACCACCTTGCTGGCTTCTAGGGGATGTTCCACTCTTAATATTATGAACTGGTTTACACATAGATTCTTTTTTAAAAAAAAATATTTCTTTTAGTTGTAGATGGACATAATAACTTCATTTTATTTATTTATATTTTATGTGGTGTTGAGGATCGAACCCACTGCCTCACACGTGCTAGGCAAGCGCTCTACCACTGAGCCACAAACCCAGCCTAGAGTTCTTGCTTATACAATTCCCATAGCATAACTAAGTCAAGGCTATAGATGAAATAAGTCTACTATGGACCAAGGGGCAGTGTATGAGAGCTCCATGTAATATAGTACATGATAAATAATAAATTAATATAGCACAAAATAAATTAAAGACAATAAATATGCAACATGACAAAGAACCTGTTGGCTCCAGAAGACCCTAGCTAAAATACATACTTGTTAGTTGGAAAAAAAACTGCAACTAGCCTATTAAGTTAATTTATAGATGGATTGGTAGCCTTGGATTGTGAAGAGATTATACTGGTAAATTTTGGACAGGATATAATTTGAAAATAAGACAATTTGGAAATAGATAATTGGATTAATGGATTTTAGCTTGTTCTGCAGACTGGATGGCTCAGTTTTGTGAATGTGCAATCTTGGGAGTTGCTGACTATTACTCCCCCTTTGACTCTTCCCATTTTCTGAAAGGAGGTCCGTGGTATATCAAATGACTTTTAATAAGGAGGTATTTCTTCACATAAGGGTTTGTAGGAGCTATGTCATCAACCAAATCCCACCTGACCAGGACCAGGATTTATTTTAACATGGAGAGTTTGTAGCCTATGACAGAGTGTTGGAGAGCAAGTGTTGGAGAGCTTTTCCCATCAACTGTCCATCAAAGCTCTTCCTTGGGCTAATTCACTTGGCCTATTTCCTCACCTATGAATTAAACTTCTCAGGTGTGGGAGTGACATCAATTTAATGGATTTGGGGAAGAGAACTGGACTCTTCTGAGACCTCTCTCTGGGACCTATCTATAGTGGTAATGTTTGTGATCTGCTTTCTATCACATAGCAAGCTTAGCCCCTGCAGTGAATAGCCTGAAGCTCTGGGACCTACATTCAATTCAGTATGTCAGGGATACAAACTATTCTCTTCCACCCAATTTTATCGATAATAGTGATAGTATTTTTATTCTATTTGTCCAAATCCTGTACCTATTTTTCTTTTGGCTCCTAATTGTGGTGGACAAAAAGGATTTTGCTATTGGGCCCTTCAAACTCCAACCACGTACATAAATAATTATAATATGAACTTCAGTAACATGGGAGGTATATAGTCTGCATTAGTTAGGCAATGCTGCAGTAACAAACAAGATGCAAAACTCTCCATGACTTAACATTAACACAACAGAAATTTATTTTTCAGGCTGGGGTTACAGCTCAGTGGTAGAGTGTTTGCCTAGCACATGTGAGGCACTGAGCTCAATTCTCAGCACCACAAAAAAAAAATAAAGATATCATGTTCACATACAACTAAAAATATTTTTTTTAAAAAAGAAATTTATTTCTCCCTTATGCTATAGTGTGAATTAGTTGGTCCTCCTCTACCTTGTAGCTCTGTTGCTAACTAGAATACATGACTTCCAGGGTCATGGCAACAAGGAGAGAGAGAGTGGGGGAGTACACTGGAAGTGATACCCAACACTTCTATTGAAGTTAGACATGACCAGTTACGTGACTCCAAACAACTGCAAAGAAGGGTTGGAAATGTATGGAAACATATAGATACTTAGAGAACCCAAACTTACTCTGCCACAGCTGGAAAAAGAATGATCAGGAAGGTTAAGAGAACAGAGGGGGACATGAGGAGGGTTGAGTGGTACCAAAAGTGTATTTTGTCCATTTCATAGATTTGCCAGAAGTGGACAGACATCCTGTCTGAAATTTACCTGTACAATCTCTTCACCATCCTGTGCTTCCAGTCCATCTACAAATTAACTTAATAGGCTAGATGCAGTTTTTTTTTTCTACTAACAAGTATGGATTTTACCTAGGATCTTCTGGAGCCCATAGGCTCTTTGTTATGTTGTATATTTATTGTCTTTAATTTATTATGTGTGCTATATTAATGACTCTACGAGTAAGAATCTTGAGCCCAAAGTAGTTTGGGATCCTTCTACACTCTTCAAACCATCTCAAGGGTAGCGTTATTTCCCCTCCTCCCCAACAGACAGATTTCCTTGAGTAGGAGTCATGTAATGTAACTGTATTTCTTAGGCATTCTTTTTAAATTAATCAGCTGGTATTTGTTAGTATTCTTTCTAGAAGGAGAATCCAAGATCTTTCTGAGCCCAAAAAACAATGGGGAACTCCAGATAGGTAAGACATTATTCTATGGTCTTGTTTGATATGATTGTGTTTGCTACATCAAGTAGATAAGTCTTATCCTACTCTGCCATTAATCCTGTGTCCCAGGTGGACCCACTCACCTCTACCTAACTGGATCCACTGAGCCAATACCATCACCGTGGTTGATTCAGCATGTGACATCTCGGGCTAATCTGTGGCCAGCAATTCCCAAATTTGAACATTGGGATCACCTGAGGAGCTTTAATACTGATGGTTGCCTCGATGGCATCCCCAGAAATGTGGACTGAATTGGTCTAGGATACAGCTGTGGGAATGTTAAAAGCTCCCCAGATGGCTCTAAAAAGCAGAATGTTTTGAGATTCACTGCCCAGAGTGTGACTCCATGCTCCTTTGACACTTTTGTGTCCATCCTGCAGATCCATAGTTGTAGCCTGTACCACCCAGTCCTGGGGTCTCCAAGCCTCTGCCTAGAACACACCTGTTCTCTGGGTCTCCGGCAGGCTGGACCCTCCGCCCTTCCATGCTTGGCCTTAGGAATCCCCCTTTTCTTCTCTGGCTCCTGAATAAAGCCTGGCATTTTAAGAGAAGGTAGATTTACAGAAAAATCAAGCAGGAAGTATAGGGAGTTCCCAGGTTTACCTCAGTTTCCCCTATTATTCATATCTCACATTCACAGTTGTTACAATTGATGAGCCAGTATTGGTACATTATTGTTAACTAAAGTCCATAGTTTATATTGGGTTCCCTTTTGGTGTTGAATGTTTTTATGGGTTTTGACAAATGCATAATGTCATGGATCCACCTTTACAGTATCATACAGAATGGTTCCACTTCCCTCAACTCTTCTGTGCTCTCTTCAGTTATTCTTTTTCCTTCCTCCCCACTCTCTGAAACCCTGGCAACCACGGATCTATTCACTGTCTCTGTAGTTTTCTTATCCTTTCCACTGCATCTCCCCTTTTTCTGGCCCTGGTTCTCCTCCCCAGTACTTGCTGCATGACACCATCAGGTGAATCTCCAGTTTTCACCATGCATTCATTCAAACTTCTTCTTTTTTTTTTTTTTTGGCACTAAGGATTGAACTCAGGGGCCCTTGCCTACTGAGCTGCATCCCCAGGTGAGTGCAACCTCGCCATGCCAAATTCACAGACTTTTTTGTTTGTGGTGCTGGGAATTGAACCCAGGGCTTTGTGCATGCAAGTCAAGCACTCTACCAACTGAGCTATATCTCCAGCCCCAAACTTTTATTGAGAAACAGACACAGTGTCATGCCTGTAATCCCAGCGGCTCAGGAGACTGAGATAGAAGGATCATGAGTTCAAAGCCAGCCTCATCAAAAGCGAGGCTCTAAGCAACTCAGTGAGACCCTGTCTCTAAATAAAATACAACAAAGGATGAGAATGTAGCTCAGTGGTCAAGTGCCCCTGAGTTCAGTCCCCATTAACCCTTCCCCGCCCCCCCCCAAAACTCAAAACCTTTGTTGAGAAACTCTAGTGAGTAGCAATCAACTACTCAAGAGAAAATCTCCAAGAGATGAAGACAGGAGCTGGAAGAACAGGTGGGCTGGAGGGGCGGACGCTGTTGATCACAACTGAGGAGGGCATTGGAAGCCATAGCAAGGCGGGTGGTTGGGTCTTCAGTCTAGTCACTGGAAACCTTTGCACTGTCTTGAACAAGGCAGTATCTCGATCAGGTTTGTGTTTACAAAGATCACTCTGGCATTAGTGTGGAGAAAGAAGTGAGCATGATGGATGTATGAACAGGAGAAGCAGCGCTGGAGATGAGGAGAAACCAGCAGATCTGAAATGGAATCTGCGGAATGTAGGGAGTGGGGGCATTGATGTTTCTACAATGACTCTGGATAATGTTTGCAGATCAGAGGGAAAAAAAAGATCATATCCAAAATCAGAGACAAAGTTGAGGTGAGTAGGGGAAAAAAACCCCTGGACACTTTGAAAGACATGGACTCAGTTGACAAATCCAATTTTTTTTTTTTTTTGTTCTTTTTGGTGCTGGCAATTGAAGCCAGGTCCTCACACATGCCAGGCAAGTACTGAGCCACAAGCCAGTGCCAATTCAGTTATGGGCAAAGCCGGGTTACTAAGGGACTGTCTAGGCTGCCTTCTGCCATCTTACCCAACCTCGCAGTGCTCCTTCCTTGTTTTCCAGCAGGACTCTCCACTTGCACCCGAACACTCCTAGTTCAGGACTCAATTATTCCCATTCCTGCCACAGAACATGCTTCATTTCTGGCAGTCTGTGCCCTTCAACTTTCTTCTGTGAAGCCTTTTCAGGTTAATCCTATACATTTCTGTCTGTCTGGATCTCTCCCCACCCCCCTTCATGCTAGTGCACAGGATTGTTGAGACTAAATGAACTGATATCTGTAAAGCACTTAGTACAGTTCCAGGCACACAGTAAATATCACACAAATCATAGTCATTAACATTATTCTGTGACTATTATCTGACTACCTGGTGTAAGATTTCACCCAACAGGGAGCACAGTGGAGATGGCGGGCGTGTCCAATTGATGCCCACCTGACTGTAACTTAGACTGTTGATTCCCCAAGGACAGGAGCAGAACTATCTTATCTCTAATAGGTTATTTTGGGTGACCACTTTTAAGATAGTGGACAAGTAGGGAGGGAGAACATGGGAGGAATAGACGAAATCTAGATAGGGCAGAAGCGGGGAGGGGAAGGGAGGGGACGTGGGATTAGAAATGATGGTGGAATGTGATGGACATCATTATCCAAAGCACATGTATAAAGACACGAATTGGTGTGAATATACTTTGTGTATAACCAGAGATATGAAAAATTGTGCTCTATATGTGTAATAAGAATTGTAATATATTCTGCTGTCATCTATAAATAAAAAATTAATTTAAAAAAAGATAGTGGACAAAATTGTCTTATTTTATTCTTATTTTGATATCCATAATTTCTCTCTTTCTGATGACTGGGAATTCTAAAGTTCTTTGATGGGGCTAGTTCTTGAAATGAAGTAAAACCCACATAGACTTGTCAAGAGCTATGTATAAAATGTTCATTCTCAGTGAATTTTTTTTCTTTACCATTTTATCGTTGTGTATTTTAACAGAAAACTATTTTGGGGAAATCAAGATCCCATTTGCCCCATTCGTGAGACTGCTTTGAAGACTCAGCCATCCAAAAGACTCAAGGACCTTGCTCATCCCAAGCCAGTCTCCAAGCATTATGTACCTAACAGGTTGGTGTTTATGTCACGAGGTTACTCTGCCATGACTCCTTAAAGAAAATGAACATAAAACCCAGGCCTTTCTCCCAAGAGTCCTGCATTGTTTAATCTACCATCAAAATGTATTGAGGATTAGTGAAGCTGTGTCTGTTTCCAATCTCATATGACAGTCAAACTTTTCCAGAGCAAGATCCAGACTCGGATCACATTTCATAATGCTTTGGTTTATGAGAATTTTAAAAAAATAAAATAACAGTGTTATAAAATAGTTTCTTTTAGTGTTGGGGATCAAATCCTAGGCCTTGCACATGCTGGGCAAGGGCTCTACCACTGAGCTACATATTGAGCCCCGAGATCTTCAAGGTGTCTTTGATGAATCTATAGAAGCCATTAGTTTTTCAAGTTAGGATCCCTAATTTTAGTATTAAAGACATATTAGAAGTTGAAGGTATGTCCAAAGTCACCTGTTGGGACTACTTCAGAGGACAGGCCACTCCTTTCTCTAAGTTCTTGCCTTGCTTGGGAGATGCTGTCTGTCCACGATGCGCTCCCATCTTCCTCGCCTGCCCTCTCAACGTCCTTGGTGGGTTCCTCTTTCTTTTCTTCCATTTCCCAATTGACTTCTTTCTCTTTCTGCTCTAAACAATTCCCAAGACCAAGGCTGTCCTTTCATATGGACTTTGTTTCTAATTGTGTGGCGATGGCCTCCAAATCTTCAACTCCTCTCTCTTATCTCAGATGTACTGGGAGGAGGATGGCAGGAGGATGGCAAGTTTGAGGTCAGCCTGGGCAACTTAGTGAGACCTTGACTCAAAATAACATTAAAGAGGGTTCAGGATGTAGTTTAGTGGTGGAATACTCACCTAACCTGTGCCAGAGCCTGGGTTCAATTCTAAGTATTGCAAAGAAATTTTTTTTTTTCAACAAGGTTTTTGAAAAAAAAAAAAAACAGGTTCAAGGGGAATTACTTTGTCTGAACAAGAGAATTCCAGTTGTACATTGTTAATTGCATCTTCCTTCTTGAATAATGAATAATCCTTGCCTGTTTGATGATGTCTTACCATTCTTTTTGTTTTATTTATTTTTAAAAATTCATTTTTTTACCATTATTTTTGGTGACATGTTACAATTGAATTTAACTCAGGACACGTTAGGTGTGTATCTTATTTTGCTTCATGTTGTTTTATATTCTTATTAGACTTAATTTCCTATTATATAAAAAAGATATGTTTTAAAAGGAAATAGGGCTGAGGCTGTGGCTCAGTGGCAGAGTGCTTGCCTAGCATGTGTGAGGCACTGGGTTCTATCCTTAGCACCATATACAAATAAAAAAAAGGCCTTCTGTCCATCTACAAAAAAATTTTAAAAAATAAAGGTGACAAAAATCTCCTATAGGCCTATAATTCAGATAATTTTTTAATATTTCCTTCTGGTCTTTTTTTGCTATGTATATGTGTGCATTTTATATATAGTCTACTTAATTTTTTTTGAGATAATATATACTTTATATAATGCTTTTTTTAATACTTGATTTTTTTTGGCTGATCATTTAGGTTAGAGGTTGATCTATTTTTTTTTATTGATTTCTCTATTATTTTACTGTTTTCTATTCCATTTATTTCTTCTCTGCTCTAAATTATTTTCTTTCTTTTGATTACTTTGGATTTCATTTGCTTTTCTTTTTCCAGTTTCTTAAAGTGGAAACTGAAATCATTAACTTGAGACCTTTCCTTCTTTCTAATAGTTATTTAGTCTGTGTATTTTCCTCTAAGTCCTGTTTTAGCTGGATTTCACAAATGTTGCTATGTTGTGTCTTCATTTTCATTAAGTTCAAAATACTTTCTTTGGTACTGGGGCTTGAACTCAGGGGCATTTAACCACTGAGTCACACCGTGAGCCCTTTTTTATATTTTACTTAGAGACAGGATCTCACTGAGTTGCTTAAGGCCATGCTAAGTTGCTGAGGCTGTTGAACTTGCAATCCTCCTGCCTCAGCCTCCTGAGTTGCTGGGATTCCAGGCATGTGCCACTATGCCTGGCTTCAAAATACTTTTTATTACCTCTTTTGATGTCATATTTGAACCACAAATATTTTTGAGATAGGTTCTTGCTCTGTTGCCTAGGCTTCTCTTGAACTCCTGGGCTCCAATTATCCTCCTGCCTCGGTCTTCTTGGTAGCTGGGACTACAGGTGTGTGACACGGTGCCCAGCTTACAGCTTTTAATTTTTGTTTTATAGTGATGACTTCAGGATCCATAGTACACATCTTGAACTTTGCATGGGCTCTGTAGTACGCACCTTCACATTGTACCGCTTTGTGTGGTGTGGTATGTCTTCCGTTCCTCCTGCCTGGCCCCGGGGCTGTTGTCATCATGTATTTTATTCTGCATTATCTTATAAATCCCACAATGTATTTTTATTTTTCCTTTAAACATTAAATTCTCTTTTAAAGATATTTTGAAAAATAAGAAAAGGCATTTTATGTTTACCCACATTCTTACCATTTCCCATACTCTATATTCTTTGGGGTGAATCTAGATTTTATTGGGTATCATTTATGCTCTTTGGAAAACTTTCCTTAATGTTTCTGAAAGTGCAGATCTGCTACTGATGAATTCTTTCAGCTTTTGAGTGTCTGAAAAATTCCTTATTTCACTTTCATTTTGAACTGTATTTCTGCTGGTCATAAAATTCTACATTAACAGATGTTACCTCACTGTCTCCATTGATTTTGTTGAGACATTGCTATTCTTTTTGGTCTGTTTCTTTGCACCTGTGGGAGCCTTAACCTAATAGTGGTTTGATCCACTGATATGGATTCACTGAGTGGTAGCTGTAGGCAGGTGGGGAGTGGCAGGAGAAGGTAGGTCACTGGGAGTGTGCCTTTGGGGTATATATTTTGTCCTCCGGTTGTCATTTCCTGGGCTGCTTTCCCCTGCCATGCTCCTCCACCACTGTGTTCTGCCTCATCTTGGGCCCTGAGTTATGGAATTGGCTAACCATGGACTGAACCTCTGAGACAATGAGCCAAAATGCAATTTTCCTTCTCTAAATTGTTCTTGTCGGGTATTTTGGTCCCAGTGATGCAGAGCTGACTAATACACTAAGTTTCCTTCCTCACAAGCCTGCCTGGGACGCCTCCATTCCTGCTGCATGACTGACTCCTTAATAATGTCTCTCATCACTCCAGCCTCAAGCTCCAAGAGAACAGAGGTTTTCATGTTCTTCACTCTTTCTTCCCTTAGCATCTCACACTGTGGCTGTTGATCAATAAGAACTTTTTTTTTTGAGTATATGAATAAGGGGAAAAAGGATAAAAATTATTCCAAAATATTACCCATTGTTATTTTGAATGTGTGCTAGTATGCACTCTTTCTCTCAAGAAATAAAAAAAATTATTTTAAAATTTTTTATTTAAAAAATTTTAATTTTTTTAGATATACATGACATTTGGAACGTATTTTTTAATTTTTTTAGTTGTAGATGAACAACAATATCATTATTTTTATTTAAATATTTTTATGTGGTGCTGAGGATCAAACCCAGGGCCTCACGAATTTGAGGCAAGAGCTCTACCACTGAGCTTCAACCCCAGTCCCAGTAGAATGTATCTTGACATACTGTATATACATGGAGTATAAATTCCCATTCTTGTGGGTTGTACATGATGTGGAGGTCATGTTGTACTGGTGTGTATTCGTATATGAACGTAGGAAAGTGATGTCTGATTCATTCTATTGTCTTTCCTTTCCCATTTCTGTCCCTTACCTTCATTCCCTTTGTCTAATCCAATGAACCTTTATTCTTTCTTCTCCACACTTATTGTGTGTTAGCATCTGCATATCAGAGAAAATAATCAGCCTTTTGTTTTTTGGGATTGGTTTATTTTACTTAACATTCCAGTTTCATCCATTTACTGGCAAATTCCATAATTTCATTCTTTTTTAATGACTGAGTAATATTCCATTGTGTATATATACCACATTAACAATTTCTATTATAAACCAAGCATGGTGGCACGTGCTTGAAATCCCAACAACTTCAGAGGTGGAGGCAGGAGGAGTCCAGGTTCTAGCTCAGCCTGGGAAACAGTGAGGCTCTGTCTCAAAATAAAAAATAAAAAGAACTGGGATATTGGGCTGGGGTTGTAGCCCAGTGGTAAAGCACTTGCCTAGCATGTGTGAAGCACAGGGTTCAATTCTCAGCACCACATATAAACAAACAAACAAACAAACAACTAAATGTCTATCAATAGCTAAAAAATAATTTAAAAAAAAAAGAAGAAGAAGAATTGGGGTGTAACTCAGTGCTAGAGTGCCCTTGAGTTCAATCTCCAGTATCCTCATATATAATATATATATATGTAATTATATGTGTAGATATTTGTATAATATAATTATATGTAAGTGTTTATTTCTTTTACAATGAGAAAAATACAGCATGCTCTATGTTAAAATAATATTTGAGTACCTGCTAATTGATGGCATTATAAGACTAGGTCTTGTGGAAAATTACAGGAGGAGGAAAAACACATGAATGTTAGTAGCACTGCATTTCATTAATATGCAATAATATAATAATTGGAGAAAATATATAATAGAAGGAGAAAATTAATATACAGGGAAAAATTAATACACTATTTGATGAGTAAAGTCATATTTGAATAGTACTTTATAAATTATAAAATGACTTTACTTATTTAATCTTCAGAGCTACATAAAATGTATTATTTTCTCCATTTCCTAAGGCACCCATGTACTTCTAGTTGTTGGTCACATGGTCAGTCCACATTTTTATGGCATTTGGTGTTCTCCATTCCTCACTGACGGAATGTGGAGTGATTGAGTTTGTCTCCATTTTATTTTTTTTATCTCTGACCCACTGTCTGGGCCTCTGTGCTGCTCATTGGCTGCCTAGTGACCTCTGTTTTCTAATCCCTGTGGTCCCCTTACCTGAATCTAATCTGTCTGAGGCGACCCATTGTTCAAAACCACCTCTTCCTTCTGTTTCTCTGATTCCCAAACTGAACTGCTATTTCCTGCCCCAAGATAACCCAGGTAAGTGCTGGAAGCTCCTTGCCTGTGTGAACTCAGCTGTGTGGGGGTGGGGGTGGGGCTGGGTAGTTCAGCAATCAGGGACTCAGGTCTGGCAGTTGTCAGGCCCCTGAAAACAGATGCAGGTATGGACCAGCCTTAAGCCAGAAGGGTCACAAGGAAGGAGATGCGGGCTAACACAGAGACTGAGGCCCACAGCAGCAGCAAGTAGACGGAGGCGTGGGCAGAGGGACAAGGATCCCTTTCTTAAAAAAACAGAGGTGCTCTGAGAAAGAATAGAATCAGAAGAGACGCTGCAGTCTGAGTTAACCCATGGCCAGAAAGAGGATCACTTCCGTTTCCACTGATGATACATTTTGATTAAGAAAAGATGAAGAGGCAGGGATAATAAGAACAATATTATTATTTATCCTAAATACTGTCATACCTGCTCTTCTAGGTCTGGGGATCAAAGCTGAAAAATAACGTGATGATCTGAATTCATGCCTATTTCACTCATTTCTCTTACACAACTTGCAGGCCCCAATATTACTACAGTTGTGGAAGAGAGTCTGTAATTTGGAAGATACCTCCATCTGCCTTGTTTACCCAGCCCTCCAAAAGGACCCAGAAGCTGGCACAGCCCAACAGATTCAAAAGACAGTCTCTACTAAGTCGGTAGGGTATCTTGAGAGTCTCCCTAAATCCTGACTCAATCTAGTTAAATGTCACAATACTGTTGTTCTAATTTCAATATGTGTAGTTTTTTGAGTGTGTGCAATTTCATGAGCTAAAAGTCCATTTGTTTTCCAAAGCATCAGATAAAAAAAGCCAAATATTTGCAGAAACTGTAGCTAATCTGAAGATTATCATCAATAATTACACTTGACTCAAATTGTGGTGAAGCTAAAATTCATATTAGGCTTTATCACTGTTAGTCAATTAAAAGGAAATTTTTCAGGAGTAGAGTGTTTGCCTAGCATTTATGAGGCCCTGGGTTTGGTCATCCAGTGCCACAAAATCGGAATAAAACCAAAAGGGTAATCAGCAAATGAACATCACAGGCTTCTGCATTTTGCAGAACTTGATGTTCTTTTACATCTTGCTGACTTGGCACATGCTTTTGCTTTTGCTTTGAATGATGAATTTTGCCTTCTCCTTAAAAGACATCTTAGGAGCTGCCTTCCCCAGCTGATTGTGATATGGTTGTAGGAAAAGGTACTTGAACATCAGATTGCATTAGTGGAATATGTTCAGTGTGCAGACGTGGGGAGGCAACAATGCATTCGTGTGCTGCAGTGGTTAGGACACACTGGGTCTCTGTAACCAGTGTCAATGTTATGCCTTAAGAAGATGCAACACATTGAGACTGTTCAGAAGGAGGTAAATGACATGTCGAGGCTTCTAGAAACTGTTATATGAAAAATAGTTAAGATAAATGACATTTTTAGCTTAGAGAAGAGACCAAGGAAACAGGGATAGCTCTGTTGAAGTGTGTAAAAAGGATGGCATATGAAAGAGGAAGAATGGGAAGAAGAGGAAGAAGGAAAGTTAATTTATATCCATCTCAGTACAAGAAGGAATTTACAGCGGATGTCAGCTAATTTTAGAAAAGTCTTTCTGAATAGCTTTCCAGGAATGGAAATTGGAGTGGGAGGGGGGACTGTTCTCTAACCAGTCTCTTATTTGACCTTCAAGTTTGTTGTATGAAAGCAAACAAAGCAGAAACTGTAGCTAATCCAAAGATTAGTGGAGATACAGAGATATAAAAAAAAAATGTACTGCTACACAAGCTTGGGCTCTGAGGCACTAGAGGGGCTGATGGACTAGAAGGCTCACCAGCAGATTTGAGCAGGCAGAAGAAAGAATCAGCAAACATGAAGATAGGTCATTTGAGATGATCAGCTCTGAGCAACAGAAAAGAATGAAGTAAAATGAACAGAGGCTCAGAGACTTCTCATCCCTATCTGCATGGGAAGGGAATAAGTAAATTGGGCAGAGGTGTGGGCTGGCTGGAAATAAAAGGCTGAAAAAATAGTATTAAGAAATAAAGATGTGGCTGGGGTTGTGGCTCAGCGGGAGCGCGCTCGCCTAGCATGTGTGAGTCCCTGGGTTCGATCCTCAGCACCACATATAAATAAATAAAATCAAGGTATTGTGTCTACTTACAACTAAAAAAGAAAGAAAGAGGAAACTTACTGTTAAAGAAAAAAAAAAGAAAGACAAAGGACATAAGAAATATAGTTAAAGGAGGGGATTGATGGGTAGAAAAGACCTGATGGGTCCCATCCTAACAAAGGGAAAAGAGCCTGAGTGTTTATTTGTAGTGAAACACATCAAAGGCAGATTTATTGTGAGAAAAACTTTTTCAAGATAAACAAGAAGCAAGAGGCTGTAGGAAATTGGCCTGATTGGAGACTCATCACTTGTACACTAATTCTTCCTCCTCCGGCTGCTGGTGCCTCCAGGCTGTTTGGGCTCTCTGGTATCTCTCTGTACCTCCGGGAGTTGAGTGAACCTAGGGCTGTCTGAGCCAATAAATTCTGGGGTATCACAGAATTCTCTTTGAGCAGGACGTTGCCAAGGCAACGCAGCATTGGCGGGATGACACTGAGAATTCTCTGAGGGGCACACCTCTGCTTAGAGATGGCTCAGACAAGCCCACAATTCATTCCTGGCTCCCCACAGAGACGTGTGGGACACCATCAATCAAGTGAATCAACAGAGCCACAAGGAGAGTCTTACAAAGAGAGGAGAGAAATAAAGAGTCCGAATGAATATATGAAGAAAGCAATGGTCCCAAACATACGAAGTTTGATGAAAAACATGGCCATCCAAGAAATTCAACAAAAGCTCCAAAGAGGAAAAACTCTGAGAGTCCCAGCTTGCCACATCATCAGCAAACTCAACAGCCAAAGAAAAAAAGAGTCTTGAAAGCAGCCAGAGAGAAGCCACTCATCACATACAAAGGATCTACAATAAGGTTCATGAATGAATTCTCATCAGAAGTCATGGTGATTAGAAGGCAGTGGGAGACATAGAGTGGTGAAAGAAAAAGACCACAAGCCAAGATAGTCTATCTAGCAAAACTATCCTTCAGAAGTGAAGGACAGGGCTGGGGTTTTAGCTCAGTGGTAGAGCATTTGCCTACAAGTGTGAGGCACCAGGTTCGATCCTCAGCACCGCATAAAAATAAATAAAGCAAAGGTATCGTGTCTAAAAGAGGAAGAATAGGAAGAAGGTAAAGTTATGATTTGAGATCTATCTACAACTAAAAAATATATTTAAAAGAAAATGAAGGTCGGGAGGCTGAGGCAGGGGGATCCCAAGTTCAAAGTCAGCCTCAGCAACTTAGCGTGGTTCTAAGTAACTCAGTTAAGACCCTGTCTCTAAATAAAATACAAAAGGACTTGGCTTAGTGGTTGAGTGCCCTTAGTTCAATCCCCAGTATCCCAACACACATACACACAGAAAAAAGAGAGAGAGAGAGAGAGAGAGAGAGAGAGAGAGAGAGAGAGAGAGAGAGAAATGAAGCTATTTCAAGATAAAAACTTTATTGAGACTTAATTACCAGCAGACTTGCTATATAAGAAATATTAGAGTCCCTCAAGTGTCTTTTCAGACACTAGATAATAACTTGAATTTACATAAGAAGTGTCAATAAATAAAATTAATTAAATATAAAAGACAATATAATGTACTTTTTGTTTATAATTCTTTATTCTCTTGCATGATTGAAGGGCAGCTGCATAAAACAAAAAGTATAGTCCTGTGTTGATAGACATACAGTGTATTTTAGAAGAGCACAAAGAGGGGGTGGAGCATAAACAGACTTGGTCAGGAAGCATAATTTTTTATATTTTAATGGATTTGGTTTGTTAGTATTTTGATGTCAATCCTGCATGTACATTTGAATTTAGTTTGCTGATGTTTTGGTATGGATCTCTGTATGTATGTATATTCATAAGAGGTATAAAAAGATCTCAAATCATAACTTCACCTTAAGAAATTAGAAAGAAAAGCAAACTTACTCTAAACATAAAGAAGTAAGGAAATAATAAAGATCGAGTGGAAATCAATGAAATAGTGATTAGAAAAAGAGAAAAATGACAACCCCCCCCCCAAAAGTTGATTCTTTGGGAATTGACAAAATTGACAAGTCTTTGGCTAGTTTAATCAAGACAAAAAGAAGACTGAAGTTAGTAAAATCAGGGGGAAAATAAGAACCTTTCTAAGGGGTCATTACAAGGAGTTATGACTTCTGATGTTATAGAAATTGAAAGATTATAAGGGATTACTAGGAACAATTACAAGGCTAACAAATTAGATAGTCTAGATGAAATGGACGTATTCCTAGAAAAACAAACTACTGAAATGACTCAAGAAAAAATAGGAAATCTCAACAGACCCATCAACAGTAAAGGAAATCAAATTAATAGTTTTCAAAAATCCTCCCTGCAAAGAACCACCCAGGACTAGTAATTCCATTACATGCAAATGAATCATTGGTGAATTCTATTACATGTTTGAGAAGAATTAACATCATACTCTTCAGTTCATTCCCAAAAGTAAGACACTTCCCAACTCATTCTATTATATTTGTATCATCCTCATACAAAACCGGAAAAGACTTATATATTTTTTAAGTATATATATTTTTTAATTGTAGATGAACATTATACCTTTATTTTATTAATTTTTATGTGGTGCTGAGGATTGAACCCAGTGTCTAACATGTTAGGCAAGCATTCTACTGCTGAGTCCCAGCCCCAGCCCCTACTATATATTTTAAACATAATATCTCTTATGAATATATATGCAGAGATCCACACCAAAACCACAAAACCAAAACCGCAAATCAAATCCAAATGTTCATGCAACAATTCACATTAAAATACCAACAAATCAAATCCAATAATATATAAAAATATTGTACTTCTTGGGCTGGGGTTGTGCTCAGTGGTAGAGTGCTCACCTAGCACATGCAAGGCCCTGGGTTTGATCCTCAACACCACATAAAAATAAATAAGTAAATAAATAAATAAAATAAAGGTATAAAAAAATTGTGCTTCTTAAGATTGTTTTATCCCAGAAATGTAAGAATAATACGTTGGGTTCAAAATGATAAAACCAATAAAATAAATGTAATACACTGAATTGGTAGAAGAAAAAAAAATCTACACGATCATCTCAGTACACCAAGAAGTATTTGACAACATTTAACACACTTTCATAATAAAAATGCTCAATAAACTAGGAATAGAATGGAATATACTTAATTTGATAAAGGACATAAGTAAAAATGCCTCAACAAATACAATTGATGGTGAAATACTTTATCCCTAAGATCAGAAGGATACAAGATTGTGAGTTTTCACCGTTTCTATTCAATATCATACCAGAGATTCAGATTTTGTTTTATATACACAAATCCACATGTACATACTGTATCACAAGATAAAATATACTTCTTATTGTGGATTATAGTAAAGAAATTTTGAGAAACACCAATCTGAAAGAGCACTATGATTACGGGAAAAGGTGTTCCTAAGATGGAAACATTGACTGGAAGTTGATTATAGCAATGACAAATTTAGTTATTGTCCCCATATTCAATAGATATGACATTTTATATTTCCATTTGCATATAGGTCCACCCATGATAATGTAGTAAGAAGTTCTTTTCAAATACCTGATCCTTCTCCCCGGATTTTACGACTGTCAATTGCCAAAGGCATAGATCCTAACTATGTTCCTCCAAAAGAAGTAAGTGACCCATGTGAAAGAACCAGTTCTTAATTGACTTTACAACATGGTACTCTTTTATGTCTAGGTGCGTATTTTTTTTTCTTCCTTTGTACTTCTCCTCTCATTAAATGAACTTTTCTGACTAACTCTCCTATGCTTAACGAATTGGTCAGGAGTGGATTAGAGAAGCAGAACCATGAGTGATATAGAATAAATGGTTTCTTATACAGATTAGGCATTAAGCAATGTGGCGGAAAAAGTCTAAGGAAGGCCTGGATGGTATCTGGGATTTGGTCCTGGTAATTGGTGTAGAAGCAAAGAGAGGTAGTAGAGACAGGTCTGTGACTCCCTGGGAGATGTCTGAGCCAGGGGAGTCTAACCTCTTCAGGGGTGGAAGGGCTGATTCTAGTAAGGAAGCTTTAGCGCATTTAGGGGCTTAAAGTCTCCAGCTTCCTTGGGAACCTCCCATATGTCCCCATTTCAATTTTCAAGGTCCTAGTCCCTCCCAGTCATTGCCTCAACTTTAACATAAAGGTCTGTGCAATATTTTCATTTTAACTCACCCATGCACAGAATTAGATTTTGCTTTTCAGAATTTTCAGCCCTCTGACAATAGAATAAAAGGATTTTTACTTTTTCATAGAAGATAGAGGCTTTCTGTTCCCTTATCAGAACTTTCAGTTAGGAATTCAAAGACTTGCGTGGGGATGGTTTCTTTTCTCCAGTTCTCAAGTGCACTTAGAAACAATCGGCCAACCCCATTGTACTTCTTTATATCACTACAGTGTCCTTTGATAGCAACTATTGATCACCCAAAGCCTGTCTTTCTATTTTGCTACTGCATGCCATGAGCTGCCAGTGGATTTTTTTTTAAGACTGCTGGTAGTAGTGGGCTGTTATTATTATTATTATTAATATTATAGTTATTATTTGTAATAAATAATGGGCTCATTAATGCCTTTAAATCTAATCAGCTCAGAAAACAATTTCTAGATAATCTTTCCTTTGGTAACAACCTGACTTGGTGGTTGCTTTATACCAAAACACCCTAAACTTAGTGGCGTAAAACATCAATAATTTTATTATGCTCAAGGATTTTATGAGTCAGAAATTCTGACAGGAAAATAAGTAATGTTTGTCCCAGCTCCAAGATGTGTGAGGTCTCAGCTGGAAAGCTTAGAAAATTACTTAGGTGTCTGAACTAGTAAGGGGCTGGCATCATCTGGAGGCTCCTTTGTGTTTTCGTCAGTTTAAGGTGCTATAACCTAATACCCCAGCTTGGGTACTTAAACAGAAAATATTTATTTCTCACAGTTCTGGGGGTTGGGAAGCCCAAAATGCCAGCAGATTCTGTTCTAGCTTGCAGATGGCTGTCTTCTTGCTGTGTGCTCACATGACGCCTTTGAAAATTGGGGTGTGTGGCTGGGGGAGAAAGGGTATGGAGGTAGAGGGATAGAGAGCACTCTGGTCTCTCTCTGTCTCTCTCTTTTTACACTAATCCCATTATGGGGAGTTCCCTGGTCATGACCTCATCTTACCCTAATTACTTTCCAAAGACCCCCCTGCTAAATTTCAGCACACTAGGGCTTCAACATATGAATTTAGGAGAGGCACAAACATTCAACATTCAAAAAAAAATCTATAACAACACCTATGTGTGATGTCTAGCTGGAAATGACTTGAGGCTAGACTCAGCTGGTAATGTGTACACCTTCCCAAGCCCTCTCCAAGTGGGCAAAGACCTCTCTCAGCTTGGCAGCCATGCTCTGGGGGAGTATCCTAAAATGGAGTGCCCTGAGGATGAGCATTCCAAGAGAATAGGAGGCAGCTACACAGTTTCTGGTGACTTGCCTTTGGAAGTCACAAGTCACCACAATTATACTCTGTTGATTGATGCAGGTATGTGTGGTCTGGTTGGATTCAAGGGGGCGGGGATGCAAACCCTACCTCCCAATGAGAGAAGTATGAAAGAATTTATAGGCGCTTAAAAAACCCTGCCACACCCAATGATGTGAGTATTTTGGTATCCTTGAGCAGATTATGAGTTAATAGTCTCATGTTTAAAATTTCAAATTTAAAAATCAAAATTTCAGGGCTGGGGTTGTGGCTCAGTGGTAGAGCACTTGCTTAGCACCTATGTGTGAGGCCCTGGGTTCGATACCCAGCACTACATAAAAATAAGTAAATAAAATAAAGATATTATGCCCAACTACAACTAAAAAGTAAATATTAAAAAAAAACTCAAAATTTCTTAGACTTTCAAGTTTTGCTTACAGGTTTTATTATATTTATAATTCAAGCAGCTTTAATAATTAATTTTAAGAGTCCCAAACCATGTTTGGTTATATTAACAAACCTATTTAATAAAATACCTTCAAACAATTTAAACTACATTTATCAATATATTACATTTGATTTATGTTCAGGTACTTTACTTCACCCATCTACATTAGCAAACAAAATCTTCTGAAATACTAAAGCATTACTTTAAAATTTAACATGTTAAGTTTAAGAACATGGGAGAACTAAAGTTTTTTTTTTTTTTAAATATTGTAAGAATGTAAAATTTTCTATCCAGAAAGCTAAGATTTTAACTTAATGTCATAATTCTAATTTGATTAATCAGTTATACATTTCTAATGGCAGTTGTAAATTTTTTTTCCTTTTTTTTATTGGTTGTTCACAACATTACAAAGCTCTTGACATATCATATTTCATACATTAGATTGAAGTGGGTTATGAACTCCCAATTTTACCCCAAATGCAGATTGCAGAATCACGTCGGTTACACATCCACAATTTTACATAATGCCCAATTAGTAATTGTTGTATTTTGCTACCTTTCCTATCCCCTACTATCCCCCCTCCCCTCCCCTCCCATCTTCTCTCTCTACCCCATCTACTGTAATTCATTTCTCTCCTTGTTTATTTTCCCATTCCCCTCACAACCTCTTATATGTAATTTTGTATAGCAATGAGGGTCTCCCTTCATTTCCATGCAATTTCCCTTTTCTCTCCCTTTCCCTCCCATCTCATGTCTCTGTTTAATGTTAATCTTTTCTTCCTGCTCTTCCTCCCTGCTCTGTTCATAGTTGCTCTCATTATATCAAAGAAGACATTTGGTATTTGTTTTTTAGGGATTGACTAGCTTCACTAAGCATAATCTGCTCTAGTGCCATCCATTTCCCTGCAAATTCTATGATTTTGTCATTTTTTATTGCTGCATAGTACTCCATTGTGTATAGATGCCACATTTTTTTTAATCAATCATCTATTGAAGGGCATCTGGGTTGGTTCCACAGTCCAGCTATTGTGAATTGTGCTGCTATGAACATCGATGTGGCAGCATCCCTGTAGCATGCTCTTTTAAGGTCTTCAGGGAATAGTCCGAGAAGGGCAATAGCAGGGTCAAATGGTGATTCCATTCCCAGCTTTCCCAGGAATCTCCAAACTGCTTTCCAAAATGGTCGCACCAATTTGCAGTCYCACCAGCAATGTACAAGAGTACCCTTTTCTCCACATCCTCGCCAGCACTTGTTGTTGTTTGACTTCATAGTGGCTGCCAATCTTACTGGAGTGAGATGGTATCTTAGGGTGGTTTTGATTTGCATTTCTCTGACTGCTAGAGATGGTGAGCATTTTTTCATGTACTTGTTGATTGATTGTATATCCTCCTCTGAGAAGTGTCTGTTCAGGTCCTTGGCCCATTTGTTGATTGGGTTATTTGTTATCTTATTGTCTAATTTTTTGAGTTCTTTGTATACTCTGGATATTAGGGCTCTATCTGAAGTGTGAGGAGTAAAAATTTGTTCCCAGGATGTAGGCTCCCTATTTACCTCTCTTATTGTTTCTCTTGCTGAGAAAAAACTTTTTAGTTTAAGTAAGTCCCATTTGTTGATTCTTGTTGTTAACTCTTGTGCTATGGGTGTCCTATTAAGGAATTTGGAGCCCAACCCCACAATATGTAGATCGGAGCCAACTTTTTCTTCTATCAGATGCAGAGTCTCTGATTTGATATCAAGCTCCTTGATCCATTTTGAGTTAACTTTTGTGCATGGCGAGAGAAAGGGATTCAGTTTCATTTTGTTGCATATGGATTTCCAGTTTTCCCAACACCATTTGTTGAAGATGCTATCCTTCCTCCATTGCATGCTTTTAGCCCCTTTATCAAATATAAGATAGTTGTAACTTTGTGGATTAGTCTCTGTGTCCTCTATTCTATACCATTGGTCCACCCGCCTGTTTTGGTACCAGTACCATGCTGTTTTTGTCACTATTGCTCTGTAATATAGTTTGAAATCTGGTATTGCTATACCGCCTGATTCACACTTCCTGCTTAGAATTGCTTTTGCTATTCTGGGTCTTTTATTTTTCCATATGAATTTCATGATTGCTTTATCTATTTCTACAAGAAATGCCGTTGGGATTTTGATTGGCATTGCATTAAACCTATAGAGAACTTTTGGTAATATCGCCATTTTGATAATGTTAGTTCTGCCTATCCATGAACAGGGTATATTTTTCCATCTTCTAAGATCTTCTTCTACTTCTCTCTTTAGGGTTCTGTAGTTTTCATTGTATAAATCTTTCACCTCTTTTGTTAGGTTGATTCCCAAGTATTTTATTTTTTTTGAGGATATAGTGAATGGAGTGTTTTTCCTCATTTCCGTTTCAGAAGTTTTGTCGCTGATATACAGAAATGCCTTTGATTTATGCGTGTTGATTTTATATCCTGCCACTTTGCTGAATTCATTTATTAGTTCTAGTAGTTTYTTTGTAGACCCTTTTGGGTCTTCTAGGTATAGAATCATGTCWTCTGCAAATAGTGATAATTTAAGTTCTTCTTTTCCTATTTTTATGCCTTTAATTTCTTTCGTCTGTCTAATTGCTCTGGCCAGTGTTTCGAGAACTATATTGAATAGAAGTGGTGAGAGAGGGCATCCCTGTCTTGTGGCAGTTGTAAATTTTTCACTCTCTTTAACATGAATATACTTTTTATTCTAATGTACATAGAGTTT